TTTTTTTTGAGATGGAGTCTTGCTCTGTCGCCCAGGCTGGAGTATAGTGGCACGATTTCAGCTCACTACAACCTCTGCCTCTTGGGTTCAAGCAATTCTCATGCCTCAGCTTCCTGAGCAGCTGAGATTACAGGCCTCTGCCACCACATTTGGGTAATTTTTGCATTTTTAGTAGAGAGGGGGTCTCACCATGTTGCCCAGGTTGGTCTCGAACTCCTGACCTCAGGTGATCCGCCCACCTCGGCCTCCCAAAGTGCTGGGATTACAGGTGTGAGCCACCGCACCCAGCCCATGAAATACTTCTTACCTGGTGCACAGCTTAATGCCTAACTGTCTAACCCATGTCTGGGGGTCCTTCACACTTGTTTATACTGGCAGACGCCCCTGTGGCTCTTGTCTGATCCATGTCCAAGTTTGTGCCTGTCCGACCATTGCTCTGGGCTAGGAGCCAGGCTGTGTCCCCAGCAACGCAGGGAAAATCAGGCCCAGGCTGGGCCCAGGTTCTTGAGATGGAAGGTGCAAATTCAGTACACCACCTCAATGGGAAACAAGTTCAAAAGCTTATTACTTACAGATCCCAAGCAGGGAGGGTGCAATGAGTGGGGAGGGCCATCCTCCATCCTGGGCTACATGAAGCAGGAATGAAGAGTCAGGCAAAAAGAAAGTGAGAGCTAGTGGCAGCGAGAAGTGTATTTTATAAGGGACAAGGCTGTGGGTCAGATTAAGTTCAAGGGCAGATGCCCGAATGGCCCCTTTAAAGGCATGGGTGGAAAATAGGGAGCCCAGTTTGCCAGGAGGGAGAGACGCCTCTAAGTTCTTATCTCTGGACACTGGCTTGGGCCATCTGAGCATGGCTTCTACTTCTAATGCCTAGGCAGCAACCTTTGCTGTGTTGGAAAGGTTGGAAGCAGGGTGACAGGTTAGGAAGCCTTTGGTGTAACCCATGTTATTGTAATATTCATTCATTCACTCAACAGATGTTTATTGCGCATCTACTATATGCTGCGGCCATGACAGGCAGGCTCTGGGGACGTGGCTGAGAACAGGACAGAGTCCCTTCATACCCACAGGGTCCTTCATACCCACAGGGTCACTCCCTCCTGGAGGCCATTAACTTCCTGTTCCATGGTATTCTGCTGGAACCCTCAGGTCCCAGCATGCCCAGGAGCCTCCCCTCCTGGCACAGGGGCTTCTCTCATGGTACAAGGGCAGCGGTACAGCCAGTCAATGGCTCCTGGTTCCACAAACTCAGTGAGCACCTGCCTACCCTTTGTGCTGCCCCTCAGCTTGGGGTGGCCCAAGTCAAGATCAGCCAGGAGCGGAGGCTTCATGATCCCTCTCTTTCCCTCAGGGAGACCCCGTCTGGCCCCTCCCCAGAATGTGACACTGCTCTCCCAGAACTTCAGCGTGTACCTGACATGGCTCCCAGGGCTTGGCAACCCCCAGGATGTGACCTATGTTGTGGCCTATCAGAGGTAGAGGGGACTCTCCCAGCTGGTGGATGGGGAGACTGAGGGGGCGGGTGGGGGCCGAAGGGGCTTCTCTGGGACGGCTGCACCCAGTATGGGCAGCATTGGCTGGTGCTCTGGGCCCCACAGGAGATGGCATTTGGCAGGCATTTGGAGAGGGGCTTTTGATAAAGGTCTGGAGGTGGGGATGATGTTGAATGAAGAGCAGCATACAGGTGACCAGCTTGCCGGGGTCGGGGGTGGGTCTTTGAGGATGGTGTGGAGCACAGATGGAGCCCTGAGGCCAGAGGATGAAATTCTCAAGTGGCTGGATGAAGTGCTTAGAGCTGTCCCAGCTGATCAGTGAGGCAACTAGATACACAGCAGAGGCGCTGTTACCTGAGCAATCAGGCATCCCTGAAGGATCACAATTTTTTTTTTTTTTTTTTTGAGACAGAGTCTTGCTCTGTCGCCCAGGCTGGAGTGCAGTGGCGCAATCTCGGCTCATGCAACCTCTGCCTCCTGGGTGGAAGCGATTCTCCTTCATGCAAGGGATTCTCCTGCCTCAGCCCCCTAAGTAGCTGGGATTATAGGCATGCGCCACCACGCCTGCCTAATTTTTGTATTTTTAGTAGAGATGGGGTTTTGCCATGTTGGCCAGGCTGGTCTCAAACTCCTGACCTCAGGTGATCCACCCGCCTTGGCCTCCCAGAGTGCTGGATTACAGGCGTGAGCCACTGCAACTGGCTGAATGATCATACTTCCCCATGGGATCCTTCTCAATTTGGCAGCCTAGGCAGCTGCGAATCCAGAAACTCTGACAGTGGAAGCAGATCCACCATCTTTGAACATAAATGGGAGTCGTTTGAAATTCTTTAGCAGGACAGTGAGATGATAGAAGCAAAAACACAGAAGGATTCACCTGGAATTGGTAAGAACAGGAGAACAGGGAGGAGAGGGAACCACTGTGTCCTCAGGACCCATCCTATGCCAGGCCAAGGGCCAAGGGCCCTATGTGAATGTTTCACTTCCTTTGCCAATGTCACCAGGCAGGCCCTGTGTTTTCTCCATTGTAGAGGTGAGGGGATGGAGCTCAGGGGGATGCTGTGTCTTGTCTGAGGAAGGACGTCATGGAGCCAGAAGGGGAACTCCAGTCTGACTCCAAAACTTGTGCCCTTCCTGTTCCCTCATGTCTTCCCTCCATCTGTGGGATGCACATGTGAGTGACGGGGGCCTGGCTTGGGCAGGGACAGACTGCAAGAGAGCTTTCAAAAGCAAGAGCTCTATCAGGTGGCAGAAAATACCTACTATTTACAGTGTGACTGGCACTGTCAACACATGAAATGAATTTGATCTCACAACAGCTCTGTGAGGACGAGTCCAGGACGCCTCTTTACAGAGCAGGAGTCTGAAGTGCCAAGGGTATATTTTGCTCAAAGTCACACAGCTGGGTGTAGTGTGGCTGGAATAAATTTATTAAGGAGTTGAAAGTCTGTCCTCTGGGACCAAGCATGGTGGCTTATGCCTGTAATCCCAGCACTTTGGAAGGCCGAGATGGACAGATTGCTGGAGTCCAAGAGTTCGAGACCATCCTGGGCAGCACAGTGAAACCTGGTCTCTACGAAACACACACACACACACACACACACACACACACACACACAGACACACACACACACACACACACACATACACACACACATACATACACACACATACACACACATATATACACACACATACACACATACACACACACATACATACACACAGACACACACACACACAAACAATTAGTGAGGTATAGTGGTGTGTGCCTGTGTTCCCAACTACTTGGGAGGCTGAGGTGGGGAGATCACTTGAGCCCAGGAGGCAGAGGTTGCAGTGAGCTGAGATCACACCACTACACTCCAACCTGAGTAACAAAGCAAGATCCTCAAAAGAAAGAAAATCTGTCTTCTAAACTTCTATGATATTTTTCATCTCTTTTATATTTTAAATACCTGTGGGGGTTGTAAAATGGTGATATTCTAATTATATAATTTTTTCATTTGTTAGTTGAAATTATTTTATAAAGAGATGTGTCCTCTCATTTGGTATTTGATATCCAGTCACACTATTCAAATAGGCAGGAGAAGATAAATGCTTGATTTTTCCTTTATCAATTTTCAAAATAATGAATTGGTTCCTTATCATCTCCCAAAGGTGATCGCTAGCTTATTATTATCATATAAACTCAAACATTTAAACGTGTTTGATGGTTTCAGTCTATTGCAATGCACTCTACTCATTGAAGCTTGAATTGCCCCGTCTGTCCAGCGGGAGTGTCATCCTTTTAACCTGACTCTAGTGGTCTTTGATACCTTGCCAGCTGTCTGTTACAACAAGATGTTCCAGGCCCCTCTGGTACAATTCCTGACCTAAAACCTGCAGTCAGCCATTTCTCCATTTAGTAAGAAATGGTTGTAAAGACCCTAATCTGCATGCTAGCTATGGTACTCACCACTTAGCCATTGCTTTTGGTCTTTTCAGTGAACAGACTGATGTGTGCATACCACATAGACACACACATGCACATAAGTTTTTTTGTTTTTGTTTTTCGAGACAGAGTCTCACCCTGTCATGCAGGCTAGAGTGCAGTGTCGTGATCTCAGCTCACTACAACCTCTGCCTCCTGGGTTCAAGAGATTCTCCTGCCTCAGCCACCCAAGTAGCTGGGATTACAGGCACCTGCCACCACACCTGGCTAATTTTTTGTATTTTTAGTAGAGACGAGGTTTCACCATGTTGGCCAGGCTGGTCTCCAACTCCTGACCTCAAGTGATCTGCCTCCCTCAGCATCCCAAAATGCTGGGATTACAGGCATGAGCCATCGCACCTAGCCTACATGTACATAATTTTTAAGATAAAATGCCTAATAAGTTTATACTGGTGCTTCCAATCTAAATTTAATTTCTTAGGATTTTTACTTGACTTATTCTATATTACATCTGTATTTTCTTTCTTTCACGTTGAGAATCCTGGCTCTCAAGGACAGGGGAGATGATAGAACTAGAATGACCCGTCTTTACTCATTTTCTTTATCCTAAAACATACATTCTTGTGTCTTAATAGTTTCTTGCTCTTTTTGCCCGAAGGTTTTGTGATGGTTAATAATACGAGGTGTCAACTTAATTGGATTGAAGGATGCCTAGACAGCTATTAAAGTTTTGTTTCTGCGTGTGTCTGTGAGGGTGCTGCCAGAGGAGACCGATATTTGAGTCAGGGGACTGGGAGAGGAAGACCCACCCTCACTCATTGTGGGTGGGCACAACCCAGTTGGCTGTCAGGGTGGCTGGAAAGCAGGCGGAAGCTGGCGGGATAGCCTTGCTTGCTGGGTCTTCTAGCTTCCTTCTTTCTCCCGTACTGGATGCTTCCTTCTGCTCCTCCTGCCCTTGAACAGCACACTCTGGGTTCTTCGACCTTTGGACTCTTGGGCTTAAATCAGTGGTTTTTGCTGGGGCTCTCTGAAGGCTGCACTCAGCTTCCTTGGTTTTGAGGGTTTCAGATTCGGACTGAGCCACTACTGGCTTCTTTCTTTCCACCTTGCTGACAGCCCATCACACTTCGCCTTGTGATCATATGAGCCAATTCTCCTTAATAAGCTCCCTTTCATATATATGTAGATCCTATTCTGTTCCGCTGGAGAATCCTGACTAATAAAGGATTGTTGCTCTTTCCTTAAAATCTAGCAATTTTATTTGACTGTATGTTGGTAATGCTTATTCATTCTGAGTTGATATTTTTAGGTACTCAACATTCCCATTTAATACATAGTTCCAAGTCATTTTTATTTCAGGAACGTTTTCTTAAATTATAGTTTTAGAATTTGTTCTACTTTCTTGCTTTGGTTTAGGGACTCATATCATTTGTATGTTGAATCATCTTTTTCTGTTTTCCATATTTGTCTTTTCATTGAGCACAGTGACTCACACCTATAATTCCAAGACTTTGTGAGGCAGAGGTGGGAGGATCGCTTGAGCCCAGGAGTTTGAGACCAGCCTGGGCAACATAGTGAGACCCTGTCTCAAATTAAAGAAAAAGGAGAGAATATTTGTCTTTTGCCTTCAAATGCCTTTTATTTGTCTATCTAGCTACTATTCTGTTCTCCAAATGAATTAGATTTCACTCTTGATTTTATTTTTTATTTTTTGAGATGGAGTCACGCTCCCATCATGCAGGCTGGAGTGTAGTGGCGTGATCTCGGCTCACTGCAACCTCCACCTCCTGGTTTCAAGCGATTCTCCTTCCTCAGCCTCCCAAGTAGTTGGGATTATAGGCACATGCCACCACGCCCAGCTAATTTTTGTATTTTTAGTAGAGACGTGGTTTCACCATGTTGACCAGGCTGGTTGCAAACTCCTGACCTCAGGTGATCCACCCGCCTGGACCTCCCAAAGTGTTGGGATTACAGGCATGAGCCACTGCCCCTGGCCTCACTCTTGATTTTTTTAAAAATTGTGTGCTTTCATGTTTGAGATTATTCAGCATCTCATTTACAATCTTTCTCTTGGTTACATTTATTTTTCCTAAAACTCTAGTCTGCTTTTAGCTGACACGTTCACAACTAAGAATGCACATTTCTTATTATAGCCTACCTTGTGGAATTCATTCCAATTTTCTTTTAAAACCATTATTGAGTGAAAATATATATATATAGAATAAAATGTTCCCATTTTAAAGTATACAATTTGGTGAGTTTTGGCAAAAGTATGTACCCATGTAACCACGACCACAATCAAGATGTAAGACATCTCTGTCACCCCAGAAAGTTTCCTCATCCACTTTGCATTCGGGCCTCCTAGATCGAGGCAACTACAGATCTGCTTTCTAACACTGTGGATTGAACTTAGCATGTTCCAGAATTTCGTATAAATGGATTTGCATAGTACATGCCCTTTTGTGTCTGGCTCTTTTTACTCAGCATAATGTTTCTGAAATCCACCCACATTGTTAGGTGTATTCGTAATTAATTCCTTTTTATTGCTGAGTAGTAATGCCATTTATGAATCTGTATGACATTTGTTAATCCATTTCCCCGTCAGTGGATATGTGGATTGTTTCCAGTTCCGGGCAGATATTCATTTGCTAGGGCTGCCATATGCTTGCCCTCCAGACTTCCCGAATTTGTGTCCTTCTCATATGCAAAATACATTCACTCCATCCCAACAGCCCCAAAACTCTTAGCCCGTTTCAGCATCTACTCTAAGTTCAAAGTCTTATCCAAATCAGGTCTGTGTGTGTGACTGGAGGTGTTACTCATCCTGAGACCAAATTCCTCTCCACCTACAAACCTGTGAAACCAGGCTGGTTTTGTGCTTTGAAAATAAAGTGATGGGACAGGTGTGGAATAGACCTTCCCGTTCCAAAAGAGAAAAATAAGAAAGAAGGAAAGAGTGACAGGTCCCAAGCAAGTCTAAAACCTGGCAGGCCAAATTCCATTAGATTTTAAGTCTCAAGAATAGCCCTCTGGCTCAGTGCTCTGCCCTCTGGGTCCACTGGGGTGGCAGCCCCACCCCTTTGCCCTGGGTGGTGACCCTACTCTCGAGGCCCTGGTTAGCAGCAGCCTAGCCTGCTGAAACTGAGGAGGGGACAGCCTTGCCTCTAGGTCTTTGGTGGCAGTGACAATCCTACTGAGCTCTGAATCATCTTCCAGGTAATTTTTCTCTGTTCTTGAAGGATAATGTATGTTCACAGCCAAATAGCTCCAGCTCTTGTGCTTTTCTTTAGAATCCTAGAAGTCTGACGGCCTTCCTTCATTCTGTCTCATCTCCGTCCCCGTTAGTCAAAGCTGGCAGTGCCTCTGCTGGTATAACCCCATCGGTATTTCCATGAGTTGCACCTCTGATCTCCTTATCAAATGATTTTCTAGCCACAACCTTGATGTCCTCGATGTCCTCCTCAGAACATGCTTTCTCTCTCTCTCTTTTTTTTTTTTTTTT